AAAAAAAATGCTATCATCCATTAGTCCTGCCCCCCCTCCCCCTTTTGTTTGCTCTTACAACTCTTGTGTCTAATTTACGTCGTCTCCCACCCAATCTCACTTTTTTTTTTTTTTTTTTTCCCTCCCCGGTTACTCTCAGTATTAAATTTTAATTATATTAAAAGGAATGGTTGACCTAATTGCCACTTTTTTGTTGTAGGATCCTTTGACTTCTTGTTGTTCCACCTATCTTTAAACTGCTTGCATTGTGTTCATTAGCATTACAGTTTTCAAGAAATGTGTGTCCATATGCCTAGATAAATTTAATTTTTGTATTACACACTGAAATGGGCTGAGGCAGGGAGAGTTCCCACTACAAACCTTTGTCTAAAGTAGTAAATCCTGTGTTTCGATATTAGGTAAATATTTGCTGAATTAAAGAGCTTATTAGTTCATTTAAACTAAGATTCAGTTCATTTGAGCAGGTGATCATGTCTTAGTAGCTTTAATGTTGCAGCAATTTGACTTTCCTGTTTTATTGATATAACCGTTTTTTTTTTCTTATCCTATGTGGTTTGATAGTATTTTGATTAAAATATAGACTTGGGTTTTCCTTCTGTGTTCTAGAACAGTTTATCTGTACTGCTCTATTCACTGCTGTGCTCTAGGTTTAGTGGCTTATAGTTGGTCAGAGGGTCTGTTACTATACATACAAGATTGTATGGTTGGAGTGTAGATTCTTTGGGTTTACAGTTTTATGTTAACTATAGTTATATCGTTTTAGTAAATTGTAAGGTAGACTACATTTTGTCTTTGTTTTGTATTGTAGTCAGTAAATATTTGTGGAAATGAATACTTACTGGAGAATATAAATTTTATTTCCAATATCATGATTTAAAGTTAAATTTTTTTCTCCTCAGAGCGACAAAAAGAGTAGTCCCCAGAAAGAAGTTAAATATGAACCTTTTTCTTTTGCTGATGGTAAGTGGAAAAAATAACTTCAGTTGAGTTACTACTGTGTTTGTGTGTGTGTGTGTGTGTGTGTGTGTGTGTGTGTGTGTTGAAGGTAAAATTATTGTATTGGCACTTAGGAATTTTTTCAGATAGCATGCTTTAAAAAAAGTCAGATTTCTTAAAATATGATGTGCCTTAGACACAGTAAAAATCAGTCTTTTGGCATTAGTTCTGTGAATACTACCATACTTCATAAAATGTCTTTCATAAATCCTTAATTTTGAACAGTAGTGTCTTACTGAATTCTAATAATAGAGTAGTACTTCTCTAGACTAACCATCAGACTTCTTGCTTGCTTACCTGGCTTGAGAAAGCACCTATTCATTGTCTAATGTTGGATTTATGTTTTTTTAGATATTGGCTCCAATAATTGTGGATACTATGATTTGCAAGCAGTGTTAACACATCAGGGAAGGTCTAGCTCTTCAGGCCATTATGTATCATGGGTAAAAAGGAAACAAGGTAAGGATTGTTGTTGTTTTTTTTGTTTTCCCAGTTGTTAATTATGTTAACAGTTTAGTACAAATTTTGTAACCCAGTGGTTTTTAAACTTTTTGGTTTTAGAACCCTTTTACATTCTTAATTTTTGAGGTCCACAAAGAGCTTTTGCTTTTAAGGATTCTCCTAATATTTACTGAGAAATTAATTCAGTGAAAACTGATAGTAATAAAATAAAAAAACATATCACACAAATAACCTAAAAATAACTATTTTCCAAAACAAAACATAGCAAGAGAAATAGTACTGATTGGATTTTGTAGGTCTGTTTTGTCTGGCTTGATAGGAGACAGCTGGATCCTCTTAACTGTTTCTGCATTTTGTCTGTTGCTTTATCACACATCTTCTGTGACTTCTGGAAAATTCCAAAGCACACTTGAGAGAATGAGGGCAAAACGGCAACTAATGCTTTAATAGTGTTACGACAATAATTGTGACTTTTATGGTATCGCTGAAAATGAACCAGAGTAGTCCCTGGACTACACTTGGAAAACTGTTAGTATGATAGATGGAATACTACTTAGCCTAAAATTACTCAGTACTTTTTTTTGAAATGAAACTGAGAAAGTCCTCTAGGATATTAATTTCATTTTCTTCTCTTGTTCCTCAGATGAGTGGATTAAGTTTGATGATGATAAGGTCAGCATCGTGACACCAGAGGATATCTTGCGGCTTTCTGGTGGTGGAGACTGGCATATAGCATATGTATTACTGTATGGGCCTCGCAGAGTTGAAATAATGGAAGAGGAAAGTGAACAGTAATTTTAGCTATTTATGTTTAGGTGTGAAATAAATGTTATTTGTTGATCATTTCAATAATCCAGAGCTTTAGCAGAAGCTATTTAGGTGGTTTTATGTGTATCCCCTCGTGTGGAACAAAAGAGGGTGGAAGCAGACCACTCTGTGGATCAACCTAAAAAAAATTACAGAATAAAGAAAATGGCCTTTGGACTGTGCTCCCCTGTATAAAGGTTGCAGGAAGATATTTTTTAAAAGCTTATTTCTTGCATTAATTTTTAAAAATTCTCATCTGAAAATGCCTTTCAACCATTACCTTCTGTGATAAATTTTTTCTCCCTTTTTCAGCCCAGGATTCAGCAGTCAGATGTTTATTGCACACCTATTACTCTTTGTTATTGTTCTTGCATGGTTCAAACCACCAGTGATTCATAGCTGCCCATCCTTTGCCTTATCTAACAAAAATTTTACCAGGAAGGTAGAAAGGAAGTAAGTGTTTTTCTCATTGTGTTACTCAGTGCTGCTGCCCACATCCCATGGAAACATGGGTACAATCAAGTATTTGTCCAGCCTGACTGTTGCTGGCTTTTCATGACTTTAAAATAAATTGTGATCAGTAATAGTACATTTGATTATACATTTATTACTGTGTCTCTCTGTACTATGGTTTGTATATTTAACTTTGCAATGGTTTTGTAGTCATCAACCTTTAAAAAAAAAAAGTTGACAAGCTCTGGTTGCTTATTTTTAGAAAATGAGGATATTTAATAAAAAAAAAAAAAAAAGGAGGGACTAACAGCTTCTGACCTCAAGTCTTTTGTCTACTGAGTGTTGAAGCTTGGGTTGAGTTTAGGTAATATGTAATACTATACAGTTTCTGCAGATGGTTAGTCTTATTCTGCTGTTAAGCATCCATTTAAAAAATGTTACCTTTTTTTTGCCTCCTCACATTATATTGTTTAAAAGAAATATGAAGTTGTAAAAGTAATGGAGTTCTTTGGATGCTGACTGCAAGGACGTTTATTGCTTTTTTCCTTGGCCCAATTGTTTTTACTTTCATGTGTTCCCAAAATCTCCATGTCTGTCTCAGAATTTAATAGTGACTTTTAAAGTGATGGTAAAAGTACCAAGAATATGTGGTGTTTCAGTATGGTAGGTTTCTTACGTTTTAACACATTCTAAGTAGTTCCTCATCTTTAAGAGCCTTGATTGATTGCTAGACAAAGATAGAAAATTAGCTAATTTGTCTCTGATTTTGAGTTAGGTATGTAAAATGAAGTTTGGGGGATTATCATGAAATGTCCGATCTTAGGCTGTTTTAATGCTCTGCAGAGCACAGCACCGATAACTACTAGTTTCCTAGAGAATAATGGCCATTTTCCTCTAAACTTTGAACAATATGATAAAATCAGAGACGGGATAAAATAAGTGTTTCAGGGAAACTTACTTGTAAATAGCTTCTTCAGCTAAATGGTAACTATTGGCAGTCATTATTCCCTTTGCCTTGGAAGAGGGTACAGACTAGAATGGGGAGGAGGAGACCATATACCATAAGAATGGTAAGGATTCCTAGATATTGCCATGAGGCTTGTGACTGCAGTTTTTATTCTGTCTTGAACAATTTTGAGGACATAAATTTAGCAATTAGAATTCACATTTCTGATTTGCAGGATGCTGTAGCTACTGGAACAGGTGAGGTAGGTTTAGAACAAAGTAGGTCTTGTATGGAGTTAGAATTTTTAAATTGTAATTCCTTAATTGTTATAAAATTGATTTCATCTTACTTGATCCAAATAAGCATTATTCCAAAGATTTTTTTAAGTATAAGAAATTGGGACTTATATCAGTGTTTTAAATAAGGCTATTTTAGAATTCAGCCTTGCATATAAGGTTTTTGAGAAGGGAGAGTAGACCAGAAAATGTCTTGATTCTTGAGTGTGCCTTGTATGCTGTGCCATGAGCACTGAGGCCCTTTTGATAGTACAGCTGTGCTGTATCACTGTCGGGACTAGCTAGGGACGTTAAGCCCAAGCAAGAACATTTATGGTGTAATAAGCACTTAGTAGTCAAAACAAATGAACAGTGATGACCTAATACTTACGTGGGAAATAGATGGTAGTAACTATCTTTCTGGTTGCTAGTAACTAATAGATAGTAGTAACTCCAGCCATTACTACATAGTGCTTTGCTGTTTATAGATTGCATTCACATAATGCATCTCAAACTTCACAATAGTCCCTGAAGTATAAATCTCTATTTTAAGGACTTAAAGAGGTTAAATAATTTTTGTAAAGCTAAAAAGACTAGGTTTTAGACTTTGCCAACCTCCAACTTTAAAAGAAATAAGGTAAACATTTTCTGTAATGGGTAGGGTGGATGGTAAATTATTTTAGGTTTTGCAGGCCATAATCTTTGTTGTGGCTACTTAACTGTGTTGTAGCATGAAAGGAGCCGTAGGTCATACTTAAAGGAATCGGCATCTGTGCTGATGGAATTTTACTTGTAAAAACAGGTGGAAAATGGACCATTGTTTGCTGATCCTCTGCTTTAAAGCACAAATGAATGAGAATAGAGCAGTCATATGGTTTCACAAAGTCATTCTGGGATTTTCAGAACAGCACATTAAATTTTGTAACTACTAATGGCATGCAGGAATCTAATCTGGCATATATCTTAGGAAACACCATGCTCCCTAAATATTGCTTACTGACTTCATTATAAATATTTAACAAAGATACTTGACCTTGAGGTCACTTTATTTTGGCCATTTCCCAACCTACTCCCTTCTGAAACCCTGAGGTCAGTCATCAAGAGCCAATGTGTTCTTTTGTTCTTGGAGCACCAGCCAACTGTACAACAACTGTTATAAAAATGTTTATTGTTTACCAAAACCATTGGACCTCTTATCAAATGCTGCTTGGTAACAAAATCTTATCACAGTTTTAATAAAAAAAAAAAAATGAAGGAAAAAGAAGCTAACTATTTGTCTCATTGTCATTAGTTAGACTTTCTGCAAGGTCACTTAATCCGGACTTGTTCAGTGCATTCATCAGATTCTCGGGCGTTGCATGTACTCCCTCTTGATCTTGCCAGGCGACTAGTAGCTGCTTAGCTCTCATCTTCATATCTTCGCTGTCACACTCAATCTGTCTAATTTCCGAGTCTTTCATTTCCAAGTAGGGAGCCAGGATCTTCCACTGTTCGCCCAGCTTGTTGGCAAATACTTCTATTTGTTCCCCTGTCACAGGTTTGTCTCGCCGGACATCAGGGCCTAGAAAACACACAAAATGTAAATTATGTACAAAGTATGAGGACATGTACAATTCAAAGTACAACAGAACTGGGAAGTTACGGGGCCACTGAAATATTAATCACCTTTCATAAGCTTTGTTTTAAAAGTAAAAATTCCTTTCTATATTTTCTGTGGGTTGAATATTGTTCTTACAGTCATGATCACTAGGAAATCAGTATTTCTTTTATTTTTTTAAATTTTAGAGAGTGAAGGACAGAAAAAGCACAAGCAGGGGAGAGGGGCAGAGAGCATCTCAAGCAGGCTCCATGCTCAACGTGGAGCCTGACACAGGGCTCGATCGCACGACCCTAGGGTCATGACCTGAGCCTAATTCAAGAGTCAGATGCTGAAGCCACTGAGCCACCCAGGCACCCCTCAATACTTCTTTTAAAGCTAAAGCTGTTGCCTCTAGTGTAATTATGAAGGCCTCCCCTGAAACCAGGTGCTCCCTTCTAACCACCCCAATCCCTGTCAAAATTAACAAGTATGGGTCGCCTTCAAATGTAAGTACCTTCCTTCCCGTCACTTCCACATTTTTATTGCATAAAATGTAATATTTGAATTACAAGTTGTCAAACAATGTTTAAAATTCCTCACTATAAGAAACAGCTGAGATAAGTGGTAGAAGTTGAGAAGTAGATCAAATAACGTACCTCTCAACAAAGAACCCCAATCTTTTCCAATTTTGTAAAATAGCCAAGAAAATTCAATTCTTACTTTCATTTTCCTTCAGTAAAGCATCATTATCTTCCTCATCTTCATCCTCACCTGTTTTTATTTCTTCAGAAGGAGGCTAAAATGAGGAAGAAGAATGTTTCAAAGAATGCTGACTTGTAAAATACCTGGGGATACTTTCAGGTTAGACAGGAATGGTGGAGTTTCCAAATAGAGGACCCAGAACTTTATCCTTGAGCATATTAAATGGCAGGTGAGGCTCACAAATGGGATGGTGTTAACTTGGAGTGGACGGTAAGATCTGAGAATGAGAAAGACTCCCCCTGCCCCCAACCTGGGAAGAAGGAAGCCAATAAAAAGTATAATGATTTGCAAATATCTTAGCACAGTAACAGTGGGCTGGGGAAAACCAGGGGAGCAACCATGTTCTTAAAAATTTTTGAGTTGTAGTAATACGAGAAACTTGTATTAGAAAAGAGAACAGAGTAGAAAGATAGGCCAAGATGCCTACTGCTACCCTCAGATCCTGTTTGATAAAAGTATATTGGCAAACAGGAAAAATTTCATGTCTGAGTTTACAGGTGGAATGATAGTTTAAGCAAAGTATTATGGACTTTAATAAATTTTTTATACAGCATGTAATTTAGGATACTTTATCAATTTATGTTCTTCCTATAAATATATACTCATATTTTTCCTTATTCTAAAAATGGGGGTTTGTTTGTAGATCATTATTTTTTTCCACATGATAAGCTGTATATTCAGCTTCTTTGCTCAAATCGTGATAATCATTTTAGATAACATCACCTAAAGAATATGAAAAAATTCATCTGTATTACTTACTGGTAATTCCTTTGCTAGCTTTATTACCATGTTTTCAAGATATTCTGGCAAACTTTTAAACTGCTGGTTGGTTGGCTGGAAGAAGTGAGGGCTTCTCCGTGCTAGTAGTCTCAGGGCTCTCCAACCATAATTTGAATTGTTCACAGCCCTATGAAAAGAGATGTCCATCTTATAATTTATGTTTTTTTATTTCTATATGCCTTCTAATTAATAT